GGTCAATTTCCAGAACCCTGAAATGGTTATTTTTGAGAATTTTGTCCAGTTCTGCCCTTGTTTTCTTTTGGAGAGGATGTGCCTAACCCTTCACACCTAGAAGTCTTTCACGTGTTCAATTTTAAATTGCAAAGTGTACAGCGTCTGCCCTGAGATCAGAGCAGATTCACTGCAACTTCCTGCACCGCTTGCATCTGCGATCCCAGAGTGACTCTCAGGTCTGTGGCAGTGGCCTTGATCCTTGAAAGTAATGGGAAGAAAAGGTTAAATAAATAAAAGCCGAGAAGGAAAACTATGTTCACTGCACTTACTAAGGCAGTGAAGTGGACTCCTGTGGTTCAGCAGTTTTTCTACATAACTTTTAATTCTGTTCATAACCCCGAGGTTTTGTTCCTTGCACCCTTTCCCTAGCTAGAAGTTAAGAAATAGAGAGTAGGTGAAAACAGAAGATTTACAGCAATTTGGCATTGTTCTGACCTCCAAGCATAGGATCAGGAGACTCATCTCATCTGGTTCAGGTACTATCGACCCCACAGGACAAGTCCTTTGTGGCATGAGCTGCATACTTGTCTTACACGGTAGAACCATATTATAATCTGTGATATTTTAAAGTTAGTTTAGCCATCTCTGGTCCCAGGAGGGGACAATAAATCAGACCAGACTCAGGACATTCCTGTAGTGATCCTGGTGTGATGATCCTGGCAACCACTGGCTCTTACATGGCTGATGCAGAGCAGCTTTAGGGAGGCACAGGCGGGGGCTGGGTCTGATGATGGACCTGTCCCTCGGCTTCCTTTGCTGTTGGGTCCCTGGAAGGTGCTGCCAGAGTCCTTGGACTACTTGGGGCTGGGTTTTTCCCCAAGAACAGATAAGTCCTCTAGAAAAGGGTTCTTTGAGAATGGGAAGGATTTTAAACAATCTAGATTTGACTTTCAAATCAGAAAGAATTTGTGGGATAGATTCCGCCTATGTATCCCATGATTCTGACCAAAAAAACAGAGGTCATCATGGTACCTATGCTGCAGAATTTCTGTCCAAGTCACATCGCCAAGATTCGTAGTCAAGTATCTCTGGATACCTCTGATATGAGGTGGTTTATGAATTTTAGTAGTTTCGGTCTATGTGCTTACACTCACAAATCTGTTTTTAATTTGTCCTGGTTCTGTCGTTCACTGGCTGTGTGACCCC